TCGACTTTGAAGTAAGTTTCCAATTATCGAGACGTTGGTTTAGTTGTATGAATAAATTTCTGATCGATACATTGCTATTCAGCAAGTAGCAACGCGTAGCTTTGAAATTCATCAGACCATGGCATGCAAGTAAAACATCTCTCGCTTCAAATATCTTCACATATTCAGGTCGAGAATCTTCAAAACTACTGTGGCTCTCTGTTTAGCGGGTTTTCCATTTCAAATTTCGTATATTTTATCGAAAAAGTCCCTGTATTTTCGCTGTTTATTTTCGCGAATTTGCGATCAAATTCTGTTCACATATGTTGTTGTTTTGATAGCGTGGAGTAGCGATTCTCTGATTGGTTAATTCACGAATGCAGTGTGAGAACTGCACATTTCATCAATAATTTTAATCTAGTTAAGCGTCGTTTCACTGTAGTAATTTTATAAAACAATTACCAAATGGTTTTCCCGTGCAGGATAGCATGATCCATGCACTTGGGATGTTGCTCGACTTTCGGAAAGCGTAAAAATACACTCGCCTACGGCTCGTGTATTTTTAGGCTTTCCGAAAGTCTCGCAACATCCCGCGTGCATGGATCACGCAATCCTGCACGGAAAACCATTCGGTATTCCTTTAATACAGTGTACAACATGAAATAACCACAACCAGCAGTGAAGGGACATCGCCATGGGTTAATAATGACCGCAGCTTCAGAAAACAACATGGTTTCCCGGTATCTGGAGTTCCAGTCCTCCCGCCCGAACCAGTGTTTATTCAAATGGAGGATAGTGATCAGTCAGAGTATGGATCGCGGAAAAGGGATGATACAGACTGACGGAATTTAGACGACGAACTTATAACAGAGAAGCCTAATGGACCTATTCCCTAATGAATAAAATTTTGATCTAGACAAGTCTAGACAAACATTTTATCACAGCTTGAAAGGGCATCACAAAATTAGTAATATTCCGAAGTTTCGTTGCGAAATGTTGTAAAATGCGGATAATTATATAGCCTTGCGAAGTTTGCCGTTTTTCAGTCATTTTGTATTT